AAGTAATGCTTAACGCTTGTTGAAATTTGTAGCAATTTACAAGTTGAAGTTAAACTAAAGTAATGCTTAACGCTTGTTGAAATTTGTAGCAATTTACAAGTTGAAGTTAAAACCAGAGACAAAAACTTGCCGAGGTAGATCATCGGTTGGCATAACCGAGGTGTGTCACCCCTTGAAGGCTACACAAAGGAGGAAGAGTATAAATATGCAAGATATTCTATGTATAGAATCATGCAAAGACAAAAAAGAGAAGACAGGAGTGCAAGCACTTAGAAAATAAAAGTTATATTCATTCACCAAAGGGCACATCGGCCACACAAAAAACATACATTGTTCCAAAAAGATAAAGAAGCAACAAAATACAAGTAAGCGAAAGAAGAACATAAAACTAAGGCTCATCTCCTCCAGATTGTTGAATTTGAAGATCAGATACCACCTCGGCCTCCTTCTCTGCCGCTATCTCGGCGTCAATTTCTTGGAGAGTTTCTTTAACAGTCTTGACCTCAGAAGGGATGTCGGCTGGTACGATGTCGGGAACAGCTTCTTGGACAACCTGATCGCCTTCTTCATCTTGAGTCAAGTCTAGGACTTGCTCATTCTGAGGAGGGGACTTGGCCCCATCAGCATCTTTGGATTTTTTGATCAAAGCCTCATTCTCTTCTTCATCGGCATCCTCAGACTCAGATTCGCCGACATCTTCACTTGGAGTTGGGGCTGGCGAAAATGGCAAGGGAATGACGTCGGCCTTCCGCAATGGAGAATCATCAGGAACATTAAGCCTTTTAAGAAGGGACATCCAACCAAGGGTGAAACCCTTGTTACATGCCTCTTTCACTTTTTTTTTCGTAGGCCTCAGTAACGTCGGCCACACCCTGTGAGTACGCCTTTTCGTCAGCGTCTTTGATTTTAGCTTCTTTGGTGGCCAGGGCCTCTTGAAGCTCTTTTTCTGCTTGGGCCATTTTTTTCTCGGCCTCTCTTCTTTGCGATTCGGCCACCTTCCTAATAGCCTCAGCAGCCTCAGCCTTTTCGTCGGCCTCGGTCTGAGCCTTGATGGCTTCCTCAGCTTGGTCTTCCAGCTCCTTCATTTTTGACTGGAGGCCTTTGTTGGTCTTTTGGAGGCTGGAGACCTCCCTCTTCATCTCGGCAAGCCTCTCTCTGTTCTCAAAAGACTGCATTGAGAAAGAGTGGGCATGCTGGATGGCCTGAAAGAAAACAGAGGTATTAAAGAATATCCAAAGTGTGAAATAAAGAGAAACAAAAATTTACCAAGTAGAAGACGTTTACCTGTACAGAGTGCTGCAACATTAAGGCATAGTTCTCATACTCACTATATTCGGCGTTCCGCTCCAGGTCACCTGGGAGAAGTAGAGCGGTACTGAGTGCAACGCCGACATTGATATCGTCGACGCTGTCACTTGCCATTACGGGCTTATCCTCTAGGGTGATTTCGGGGGCCCAGGGGGCATCTGGTTTCTTTGACCCCAAAGTCGTTGCAGATGACCTCGGCCTTTTCGATTTAGAGGATTCGGAAGGAGGTACTTCGGCAGACCTCTTCGAAGGGACAGAGGCAGTTTTCTGACTTGGAGCCAGTTTTGGTGCTGGCAAAGTGTCCTCAGTCTCAACCTGAGTCACTTTCGCCTTTGGTTGAGCTTTCTTAATTCTTTTTGGTTTTGCTGGAGGTTGGGTTTGTGTTGGTTGTTCGTCAATGGATGATGGAATGTTGGCCAGGAGGTCTTTAGCAACTGGCTTTGCGCGACCCATCTCGGTTGTAAGAACAAGACGTCGGTGACTCTTTCTTTGGGATGGTGGAATGAGGTATGGAGCCGAGATCGAAGGCTGTTCTGCTGGATCAGAGGTTGATCCTTGGTCTGTTCGCGATGTTGATGCAACTGGAAGAGTTGTAGCAGAGGGAGGAGATAAGCTCTTCTTTTTCTTTTTCCTGGGGACGTCGGGGAGAGCTGATTTGTATGTTGAGATGAAGTTGAGAAGCAGGGGAGCCTTTTGCTTCTGAACTGGCAGGTCCATTAATTTCTTTAAATCCTTGCTGGGAACAAAGGATTGGCGAAATTTTTTTGGTGGTGACGAACAGCTGCAAGGAGAACAGACGTCAGAAACAGACAAAGTATTTAAGACTTTGGAAGAAAATAGGCAAAGCTAAATACTGGACTCTTACCCTTGCCCTCTAAAACTGATCGGGGAAGAGGGTAGAGATGGATGTCCTCGTCTGGAGAAAACTCCCAATTTTCCGAGGTAATGAGATAGTCATCTCCAGCCCCCTTGTTGGAGTCTGGGAGGTCGGCTATGATTTTGAATTCTGTAGACCTCGGCTTAAGATAATAAATGAAGCCTTTTTCTTTTAAGTTAAGGGCACACATGGTGTAACAATACTGTATGTCGGCTAGGGTGATCCTAACGTTTTCCTGTTTAGCTAAGGCGATAATACCAAAAATCACTCGATATGAATTGATTGCCAGTTGCATGGGGTTTAACTTATAATAGTGAAAAATCTCGCGAAAAAGGATGTTGAGTGGGAGCCGGAGTCCGCACTCAGTAAAAGCTACTATGGGAAGGGGCATGGCGTTTTCTGTAGGCATGATGGAGTCATCATTCCCAGCCAGTCTCAGGAGGACATCGGCAGGGATAGAGAACTCTTGCCTAATATACTCAAGTTTGGTCGGGGTATCTACCCTATGTCTCCACATACCCATGATATCGACTTGAATTAGAAGGGTTGAAATTCAGAAAGATGTTTCTTATTGATGGGACCTCGGCAAAGACCTAGGTTTGGGCTGGTACAGAAATTTGTAAGGAATGTTTCAGTTTTGCCCTAAATCGTGGGTTCCACAAACAAATCCCAAACCTAAAACTATGGAGATGAAGATCAAAGGCACAGATCTGGAAAAGATGCAAAAAACAGAAAACAAAAACGAAGTTTCAGAAACAAGAACTGAGATGGGCTATCAAGAACATGAAGAATACAAGAGTATATGGCCAAGAACAGTAGCAAGGCGTACAAGAAGAACTATGAACAATGCATGTATTTAGGGCATAAATCATGGAAATCAACACATTCAGGTGTATGAATCGCAAATTAAAAGTTTCAATAGATGCAGTAAAGGCAACAGGTAATGAAGAATGTTATCAGAATTGAAAACGAAAGGAACTGTAGCTTACCAGAAAAAGGGAAGCCGGAAAGGGATTTGCCTATGTCCTATGACGGTTGCAGGAGCAGAAGACCGGTGGAAATCTCGCCGGAAGGGGTGAACGGAGAAAGTTGCAAAGCTTTGGAAGCTTGAGCGATGGAGGGTTTCGAAAGCTAGAGAGAGATAGCAGGAGATTCGAATGAAAAAGTGAAGAGACGGAAAAAAGGGAAAAAGTTTTTGATTAAACAGAAACGGCGGCAAAAGCAATCAATACGCCTAGAAGAACGAGGGCGTCAGACGGCGCACATTTTTATTAACTTAAATCAATAGAATGGTCTTATAAAAAATGTATAGGGATGGAATTTTTTGCACTCTTCATTTTGATTAGAGAGAGTTGCTCGGATTATTGTTAATTTTTTAGAACTCTTTGTATATATATTGTTCGTATAAAAAATCAAGTCAATCAAATAATTATAGTATTTTCATTTTTTAATTTTTTTTTAAAGATAAACTCAATAAATGAAGATATTGTAATTATCATATTAATTTATTTTTTTTTATGGGCAATATACACCAATAATCTTAAAAATAAACGGTTCAAATTATCGAAATAGATTCAACTCCTTTCCAAGTCAAATAATCCCAAGAGAGTCCCAACTCAAATGTAAAATTGACTGATAAAAAAAAATATATTCTATTCACATTTTTGTGAACAAAATCGCACTCAAGTAGTGCACGAAGTGGGTTGGTGATTAAGACATAAGAATGCTCTGTTGGCTCATAAAATGAAAGGAACGCCTAAACTGTGTTCAGACTGAGACTTTCAGTTCAAGAGAACCATATGAAAGAAATGTTAGGTATCTTTCCAAAATTACTGAAAATTCTCTCCATATGTAATAAGTAGAATTTTGAAAAGAAATGAAGTTAAAAGGTCAAAAAAATATTACAAAAAGATAATTCATAGTTTTTATTTTTTAAAGGGGAATTACAGTACAATGAAAATATAAAAAAAATTACAAAAATATATGAGGTACAAGTGATTCTGTTGTGGGGATGTAACTTATACTCCTCCATGTTTGTGTAAAAAAAAATTTTCTGTACCACTGGGATGTAATTTCTTCCCAAAAAAAAATTAATAATAATAACTAGGGTACCCCTGCATTTAATGAAATTAGTTGGCATCAGTGGCTTCCCACAAACAACTTATGTGGACAATGCATGTATTTGGAAAAACATTAAATATATAAATAAAAAATTTATATAGAATTTTTATATTTAATAATATAATTTAGGGCAATCGATCCAAAAGTTTAAATTACAATTTTATTTGGCCAAATGTACAAGGTCTTAAATATTTTGTTTAAAATGACAAATTCAAACAAAATGACAAAAATACATTATATATATATGATATACTCGAATCAGAACATGAAAATCAATCTCTCTCTCTCTCTCTCTCTCTCTCTCTCTCTTCCCTTCTTTTTCTTCACCTCACTGTTGCTGTCCACCACCTTGCCTCGCCGTCGCCGCCCACCGCCTCGCCTTGCCATCGCCACCACCAACCCTACCACCTCCTCCACCGTTCTCTTCTTCTTTCTTTTGCAAATCCTCATTTTCATTTTCCTGAGATAAACCCTAACTTTAACCCTCATTCTCATCTTCTCTTCTGCAAATCCTTACTCCGATCGATGTCTCTCCTATGGTTCACCACCATCCTCGCCTCTACTCTGGCGCCGCATGCTGTAACATGCCGGGGGGGTACCCGTGCGCATTAAACAGTTCGGACCCTCGATCTCTTTGATCTAGTCTCACAAGTGCAATGTGAAACATAGACGAGAGTCCATATTTGGCAACTTTATAGAAAATCCATTTTATTGCAAAAGTATTTCCACAAATGGACTGCGTTATCAGATCTCAGAGTCGCCGCTTAATATTTTTAGGAAATTAGGAAATCCATGACTCGTACAAAGGCCACTGTTCGTCGTAACCAAGGATGCTTGACTCGGAACTTTAGGTATGAAGAGGGAAGGTCATTAATTGAGCACCCCCGCTCACCCGATCAAAAGATCGGCCTCTACTAAACATGATATGAATTTTATTTTCTTTATATGTTCATGTTCTGATTTATTGAATAAATCCTAAAATTTACTATGTGAAGCATACAAGTATAGACTATGTCACCCACTTTGGAACAACTTGATTTCATGTAGTTTTGAAAGAGATTAAGATTTTAAGATGTCCGATCAAAAGATCGGCCTCTCTAAACATGATATGAATTTTATTTTCTTTATATGTTCATGTTCTGATTTATTGAATAAATCCTAAAATTTACTATGTGAAGCATACAAGTATAGACTATGTCACCCACTTTGGAACAACTTGATTTCATGTAGTTTTGAAAGAGATTAAGATTTTAAGATGTACAACCCAAATAAATTGAGTTTACAAACATGAAAATCAACACTATTCCAAATTAAGCGACACAACCTCCATCCACTGGCATTCATAGAGTTATATCACATAAGCAAATAGCTTTATGGTAAGAATGCTAAACATAGTAAGAAAAACACACACAAACGGGATGTTAAAGCATAAAAACTTACATATTTACCAACGTCCTTCGAACAACTACAAAACAAAGTTAGTAAAATATGCATGGTCCTATATACAAAATCCTAATGCTATACATATACAAGAATGCTTCTAAAGATTCGGCTTTTAGAACATGATATGTGAAATATTGCAAAACGTGTTATAGAGCACAGAATCATGTAATAATCAATTAACGCACAAAGATGCAAATTTATCCGGATTTAGGCATGAATCATGTATATAAAAGCATAGATATGTATGGCATGTAAGATATATACCTATGCACAGTTAGGGAAAGCGATTAAAGAATGGGATAGAAAGAAGCGGAGTGGGAAATTGTTACAACACTTTAAATATTACAAATCCGAGGGATTACAACACAATATAAAAATCCTCACAAGCTCTCAACATAAAAATAAAATAAAGAAACTTCATGTGCTTTGGGGATCACCGGAAAATATTCTACTTGACGCACGAAGATTGCTCTGTTCTGTTTTAAAAGCACATTGCTGGATTTTTCACTGGTGGAGACGGCTCAAAATTAACCTCATATCGAGTTATATGAGGATCACACGATTAATCATCATGAGAAAATCAACTATAAATGGTCCGTTGCAATATGGCTAAACAGAAATTTATGGACTCACCAATCATATAATATATGCAATGTGTCCAAAAACAAAAATC